GGAAAGTGGGAAACTCTCGAGTCGCTTACAAGTTGCTGTTAGCGTCGATATCGCGAGTGTTTTTCTTCTTAATCCGACGTTACACATGCGTGTTTGCGATCCCGCGAATCACGGATGCAACTACATATATCAATGTTGCGAGTTCGCTCGTTTCTCTCCTTTTTTCTTTCTTTCTCTCTTTATAATACAAGGTGTTTCAGATCACCCGGCTCACCCGATTTTTTCATAAATATAACATTTTAGAGAAAAATGTTTCAGACAAAAGTTGTAGGGCTTTAAAGAATCTATTCACTGATGCTATAAATTTGACCTTGGGATGACCTTGAAAAGCCCAGTTAAGACCAGCATAAAAATCTTAAATGGAAACTCCAATTTTTTATTATACCTTCTTTTTCCACCAATTAATTTGAACAACTTTTGTCTGAAATATTTTTTTATTTGCCTAATATTTTTTTAGATATTTAAGGATAACTTGGTGACTTCTTCAATATTTAACTTACGATATTTCGCTAAATGTTTGTCGGGATAAAAAAATGGTACTAGAATTTTCTATTCTACTTGGTCTCAAAAATATATTAGTACAATAATGTTCAATTTTTTGTTAATTTATCAATCTTTCGAAATTTCAAAATCATCAAATTAACAAAAGTCAGGGCACTGTTGTAACAATATATTCTTGAAACCAAGTAGAATAGAAAAGCCTAGTACTATTTCTTTATCCCGACAAACAGTTAGCGAGATACTGTGAATTAAATATTGAAAAGTTATCAAGTTTTCCTTAAATATCTCAAAAAATATTAGATAAATAAAAGAATGTTTCAGACAAAAGTTCTTCAAATTAATTGCTAGAAAAAGATGATCTAATAAAGAATTGAAGTATCCATTTAAGATTTTTATGTTGATCTTGACTGGACTTTTTAAGGTTATTCCAAGGTCAAATTCATAGCGTCAGTAAATAAATCCTTTGAAGCTCTACAACTTTCGTCTGAAATATTTTTCTCTAAATTTTATTCTAAAATGTCGCATTAACGAAAAAATCGGGTGACCCGGGGTCTGAAACAACCTGTATATTTATATATTTATTTATATACTTATATATTTATTTACATGTATGTATATATAATTTATTAATTTATATAATTTTATATATATTTATATATTTATTTATATATTTACATATATTTAATTATATACATACAGAATGGTCCACTTATAAATCGAGCATCTTAAACTTCTTCCTCGTTTTTGATGATACGAAAAAATCTAAGCAAAAAATTTTATTGTTCGACAATTATGACAGAAAAAGCTTTTCATGATTTTCCGGACAGAAAAAGCTTAACAAAAAATCATTTTTCAGAGATTTGAGTTAAGGTAATTTTTTTAAATGGAATTACATGCTTTTGTTTGCATTCTTTTACAGCCAGCATCGAGAGGAGTTTAACTATGACAATATGACTTTTAAACGACTTTTTGAAACATGAAAAATTACATATGTTTGAAAGAAACACAAGAGTCAAATATTTATGCTTTCCAACATAAAAATTTATTATAAGAGATGTTCAAAATGATGCTCTCTAACTTCAATACATTTTTTAATACGGTACATAAACGATATTCTTTTCCTTTCCATCATTTCTGAATTTATAATCGCACAATGCATCCACAATGCGCTATTTCATATTCTCCTTTGTAGCTTGTATATCGTTGTAAACAATGTTTTTTAATATTCCTCGTAAAAAAATCTAGCGGATTCAAATCAGGAGAACATGCGGGCCAATGAATATGTGTTCTCCTCTTCCCTCCCCTATCCAGCATTCCAGAAGCATTTCGTGCAAAACTGCATTTGCATTATGAACCGGATAACCATTATATTGGTAACATATCTATAAACAAATTTCTAACGGTACTTTTAGTAATTTTGGAGGACAAAATATTAATGTATTTTTGGCCATTTAATGTATCATTAGTAAAAAAAAGTACCAATAATTCAATTTTGTAAAATTTTATATTATCCATATATTAAGGTTTCATGAACGTTGATGTTCTATTTGCCGAAACCATTTTACATTTTCAATGTACTAATAGTGTGTGTTTATTTAGTTCATGTAGTCAGTTCCTTCTATTATTAGTGAGTAACTCAATTTCTGAGGTATATTAAAATAACATATTCACTTTCCTCGGAAAAAATGTTCATTATGTCTAAACGTTGCTCTAATTGTCTATAAACTAAACTAAATATTGCTATAAATATTATATGTTGGAAATATCAACTTTTAATACTTTTTGGTGATATTTTAGCGAAGATATAATTTCAAGAACAAAGAAATTGTTCATTGAGAACTCAATGAGAATGTATAGTATTACTATACGAAAGAGCAAATAGCCCACCATACGCCGACCGGAGACGCGGCGTCAGGCACAGCGCGTTCTCGCTGAGTGTGTTTCCGTACGATTACTTGTGCCGTACGCAACAGTGACTTTATTTTTATCAATTAATGTTGCTCTTTCTATATATCGTTATAGAAGTAATTTATAAGGAACCATACCAAGGTGTGACTCGCCTAGAATAATCAGTAATTGCAAGTTTTTGGCTAGTGGCATTTTTTACTATAATATATTCAGTCCATTCTTGCAATATTCCCACCACTGGTTGGATAAATGATTGCTATTCATCTGTCATCTGAGAACTCAAACAATGATTTTTCAAGATCCATTCATTTTTCCTTCGGGGACCAAAATCGATACTTTTTTAACATCCCCCTTTAAGATGCTCGATTTAACCCCTTGCCGTACCATTTAGCTCGACGAAATCCAGGCTCAACCGATAGGAGACGACGCGCGCTAAACGGGCCAGAGTGATGCGCGGGAACAGTTGTAATATGAGCTCAGAATATTTCCAACTGATTGGTGTGTTTTTCGCTTCCTGCCAAATCCATGATGCACATGATTCAGGCATTGTATTTTTCTCTTCGCTATCGTCATCTATAATTAAACGTCTCACACGCTTTCTAATTGGTATCATTGTCGCTATCACTGGATTCATCACTGCCCAGTTTCCATGTAAACGTTCCGTATTTTGCCTCCCTCTTAACATTATGTAAGGGTTTATTAAATTTTGCTTCAAAAACTAAAGCACACTAGCACGCTTGTTTTGTAACGTAGGTTATAAAAATTGTGAACAACTCTCGTGGCGTAATGGTAAGAACTAAATCACGATTGTAACTGACAATAAGTTCTTCCTTTAGGTTGTTTACTGCGTTTACTCGTTATGTCAACAGTTACTAATACAATTATATGGACGATTGACCGGTGTATGATTAAACGACACATAAAGCTACGAAAACGCTACTCTAGCCTGAACAGTATATATGGTCCGATTTTCATTCCACGAGTCAGACTCGTAATGTTCACGTTTGGCCCGATCATCATTCCACGAATCTGACTCGTGATATTCATGTTTGGTCCAAAATTGTTATCACGAGTCAGCCTCGTCAAAGTACAAGGGGTTAGCGGGCCACCCTGTTATTTCTATATTCTTCATTATTATTATCCCATACTTTCTATTATACTTTTTATTATCTTGTATTATCTTGTACTTTTATTTTTATAACACCTAATTGCATGTCCTGAGAAGATACACAGGGTGCTAAATTTCAAACGTAATAGGTAAAAAATCTCGAAAACTATGAAAGATATTAAAAAAAGCTAAGATACGTTTTCTATGATTTCAAAGGGGGAAGAGAATAGCATTATTAGTTTTTTATTTGGATGGCATTTTCAAAGTCAGTTGAAGGTCAACTTAATTTTTTAAAGTAGAAAGCCCAATTTTTTATTATATCTTCTTTTTCCACCAATTAATTTTAACAACTTTTGTCTGAAACATTTTTTTATTTGCCTAATATTTTTTGAAATATATAAGGAAAACTTAGTAACTTTTTCAACATTTAACTTACGATATCTCGCTAACCATTCGTCGAAAGAAAAAATAGTATTAGACTTTTTTTTTTACTTACTATCAAGAATATATTACTATAATAGTGTCCTAACTTTTGTTAATTTAATAATTTTGAAATTTCCAAAGGTCGATAAGTTAACAAAAGTTAGGACACTATTATAGTAATATATTCTTGATAGTAAATAATGTAAAAAAGTCTAATACTATTTTTTCTTTCGACGAATAGTTAGCGAGATATCGTAAGTTAACACTTTGCTGGCCGCTGCACGTACGCGTGACTTTTGCTCGCCGACGGTTATCGGCCGCTGTCATATACGCGTGACTTCGGTTCAGCGCGGCAACAATGTTTTCACTATGCTTCTGTTTTAACTATCCCGATTGTCTTTTCTTGACATTCTTTAATATCACCGTCGGCGAGCAGTAGAACCCGCGCGAAATTCGCCGGCGGCAGCGTAAAAGCGACGCGAGAAGTAAGCGGCCGACAAAGTGTTAAATGTTAAAAAAGGTACTAAGTTTTCCTTAAATATTTCAAAAAATATTAGACAAATAAAAAAATGTTTTAGACAAAAGTTGTTAAAATTAATTGGTAGAAAAAGAAGATATAATAAAAAATTGGACTTTCTATTTTAAAAAATTAAGTTGACCTTCAACTGACCTTGAAAATGCCCTCCAAATAAAAAACTGATAATGGCATTCTTTTTCCCCTTCGAAATCATGGAAGACATGTTTTAGCTTTTTTTTAATATCTTTCATAGTTTTCGAGATTTTTTCTTTGTTACGTTTGAAATTTAGCACCCTGTATATTTTAGGACATTGATAAAAACTCTCATCATTATTCTCTTTCTCTCTTTTTTCTCCCCGATTTCTTTCTGATTTCTTTTAGATCCTAAGGTACAAGATCACATCGAAAAAAGTGTGGAACTATTACATGCGGTTTGAACAGCTCATGCTTTATCAGATAGATACACACACATACACACATCGATGATGAAATGAACGGCGTCGATAGACAAACGCTTCTGATCATTGCTATCGTCTCACTTACCTTCCATGGTCATGTTATCTCCCAGCTTCATCTCGATAGCTCCTCTCGTGTTTGCCCGCTCATGCGCCGCTCATTAAGTGCTCATTAACGGGACAATTGGCCGACAATCAGCCGACATCGGTGGCGCGGACTTCATCCTCGCTCGTTTCTCGACGGCCTGATCGCAGAGCGGCTGTTTTTTCTTTCAGCAACACTTAATCTTGACGCCTGTCGATGGCTCAATTATTTCGCTCGTCGAACGTTTATCCGCAGACACGCGACTCCGCTCTCGCCGTTGGTCGCACTCGATTATTACGTCAACACGTCGTTTCGCCGTTCCTTCCGTCGAGTCTGCCGTGAGTTTTTCACGCCAATTCGTCGCGAGTATTCACGCGCGACCTCCTTATAATCAGAGTCCTTTTTCTTCTGTTATATTTGTGGAGTGATCGGCGAATCGCGTCACAACAAGCTCTTGTCTCCGTTGACCGACAAAATCCCTGAATTTCTCGGCAGACGCGTTCGTCCTCTCGCTCGATAAAATCGGAGTCTTTCGAGATTGGGTCTATCCATATGAAATTCGCATCGAGTATGCACATACGTCCTGGAACGCTCGGGATCTGCCTCGGAGGTCTACGACGGTCTTCGGAGGGAGATGCTTCACCCGTCTGAAAAACAGAAGGAGAGAACTTCACGAGTTAACTTGTACGATGAACGTCGCGTCTCGAAGCACGATTATCGGGAGATTTGCGAGGTTTGAGGCGTGAAAGATTGCCTGAGACGTGGATCGAGCGAAATATCGTAAAGCGCGTGATAAGACATTCATGTAAAAGCGATGTCCTGCTAATTATGTTCTGTGTACAATACATACAGAAACTTCTCAGGATCTTCCCGATTACGGCGCGTAGATTCCGATTAGAGAATTCCCAATTTTATTTCAAAATTAATTATCCGATTGCAATATCAATTATCCCATTTTTCTGTAATCAATCATATAAAAAATAAAACAGAAATACAAATTTAATGTAAAATAAAAACCAGATATTTAAGAATAGAAATAACTTTGAGCTCCCCAATTGGAATCGCATATTTCTCCTGTGCGTTTTCTCAAATTTTAGTTAGCTTGTACGTATGACGTTAAATTTTTACATTTAAGATAAATGTATAATATAGTATATACTCTTTTACTCGCGTCATTTATAATTTATTTCAAAAAGAGGCTGAGCGAAATGTTTGGAACAGTTTGAGTATTCACGCTTCTTAAATATTTGTACTTGCAAAGTGTTTGTGAATACTCAAAACGTTTTGGTTATTGTTTGACATAAATATAAGATAGAAATCGCGAAGAAGAGGAGACCTCTCGGAGAAATGTTCGATAGAGAAAATAGAATCTATTTAGGTTTCCCATTCAGGAATGTATTTTTGAAACGTTACACTTCCAGTCCGTAGGTTTTTCAATTAAAGTCTATCATTTTTTGTGAGAAAAGAATATGTTTCAATTTGATCCCAGGTAATTTTCCATGCAAGTGCTTGAATCTGCATAGAATTTCGGGAGAGCTGATTGGTTCCAATTGGATTCTGAGAAATTTTCCATACGGGAACATCCGTGGATACTACGACCTTATTTGAATCTCATGTCTCCTTCGTAGATTCTTTCCACCGTTTGTAATAATCTCGTGCGAATTTACAGGAGCGTTGGATTCTCGTTCAGGAGAATCAAGGGAATCGAGAAATTGCGACATCAGCTGCGACTTGTTACATCGAGAAGTCCGCGCACACACGTCCGCGCTCGATATCTTCGGTACTAATAATACGTAGCCGTTGACCTTCGAGAAGGATAAGAAGGATTGATTACGATACGACGCCGCAGTCGGTAAGAGAGCGAAACAGGATAGTGTTGTCGCTGCGATTACGTGGCAGCCATTCCGTCGGCGGTATCGAGGCACCAATAATAGGAGAGGGGTCAGTCGTTTTCCCCGGCACCCCGCGCTTGCATAATACGATAATTGGACGAACCTGCGGTTTTCCGCGAGCTCTTCAAGTTTTCAATGAACGAAGCGAGACGAGAAAGAAGCTGCGCGCTCCCGTACGTCGGAAATTACGACTACTTTACAGCTACCACGGCTATTTTTTCTCCATTTTTCTGATGAAATACTGACTGTGCACGCAACCTTCGAATCGGAGGATTTTACGCTTACTTTGAATTTTTAAAGAACCTCCACAAAAAAAATCGATTTTTTACCCGTTTTTCGATCCTCGATTTTGGAATCGAATTTTATGCCAAAAGATAGTTCATGATGAGACATTAATTACAGAAAAGCTTCATGTTGAGCATATGATTGGTTTCAAAGATATAGAGGGTCAAGGTGGTCACTACCTACTAAGAAAGTATGACACTAATAATGCTTTATCGCACAAATTTTTGCAAAATTCGGTATCTATGGGTTCTTTGAGTTGCTGATTATGAATACAATGTCAGATTTTTAAAATTCAAGATGGCAGGTGCAACATGGCGGACATATATAGTGAAACAATCATTTACTTTTATTGGAACTATAATATTATGTTGTGGTTTTTTTGGCTAACTGATTGCGAATTTTCTATTAGGTTTTCGAAAGTAATTTTTTCAACGACAATTTTTGAGTGGAAAAAGTATTTTTTATTGTTTTTTCATAAAAAAAATATCAAATTCAAATTGATATGTTACATGACGCATAAAGGATAAGGTGATAGTTTTATTTGTTATATTTAGAAGCTTTTTCATTGCAGACGTGCTTTTTCATTGCAGTTTCCGTAACTCTTTATAATTATATATCATTATATCCAATAATATAAGAGTTATCTAAAAATTTAGTTCTGAAATTATCGGTTTTAAAGTATACTACAACATAACAGTTCTAATAAAAGTAAATAATTGTTTCACTATTTGTGTCCGCTATGTTACATCCGCTATCTTGAATATTTTAAATCTGACATCGAATTCGTAATAAACAACTCAAAGAACCCATAGATACCGAATTTTGCAAAAATTTTTTTAAAACCTCTACAATTACACCTTAAGCCTACAATTAAAACTTAAAACCTCTACAATGATCACAACTTTGACCTTGATGAGATGTGGAGAAAAAACAAAAAAAAAACAAAAACAAAAGAAACAAAAAGCAGAAAGCGAAATAGAAAATAAAATAAAAAAAGAAAAAGCAATTAAAACATACCTCTACGATAATTATAACTTTGACCTTGACCTTGAGGTGTGGAGAAAAAAAACAGAAAACAAAAAAGATAAAACAAAAGAAACCAAAAACAGAAAGCAAAATAAGAAATAGAATAAAAAAAGAAAAAAATATTAAAACACAATTCTACAATCTATAATGATCACAACCTTGACCTTGATCTTCAGACTATGGATCTATGGAGACTTAAGTCTGTAGGTAATAATAGCTAATAGTGATCATATACTTGTTATCGACCTACATGTTACGAGTAATAAAAAATTTATCTTTTTACTACGAACTGTCTTCACTTTTACCTTGGGGACGATACATGTTGTAGTTTGATGTTAATATGATGGCAGAGAGAAGCATAATGAGTGAAAATGTTTAGTCCGCTTATTAGTCATGAAAAAGGCTTAGATACCTAGACTAATAATTAATTTTGGCTTTATGGAGTTTTTTCTCGCTTACTATGGTTATTTTTGATATTCCTAATGATCATACAATACGAAAAGAAAATTGTTCTTTAAAAATTTTGCGGGGGCGGAAAAGCGCCCTTATTGATCCTTTCACCAACTTGTTCATTCCGTCTTAGACTTATTCTCGTCTTCTTCTTCTCGGTCAGATCACGGTGTTAATATTTGATCCAGAGAAAGAGGAGACGGGAGCGAGAAAGATTTACGCTGGGCTGCAGCTACACGTCGCTTTGGCGCGATGCACGCAGTTGCACATTCGTCGCAACGTTGAAATCGGTTACTTCGTCTGACTATGTACAGGGCAACATACAAGTCAGTATGATGGGTTACTTGCCCTTATTCGGATGATAATGCAGAGGTTGTCGAAAAAGTAATTCGTTGACTTTATTGATAATGATGTTTACAGTGTTCGCAGTTATGACAAATGCAACTAACTTTGCACTATGATCGTTGTGACAGTTTATCGACCATTTACCGACAGCAGTCGAGCCTCATTGAATTAGAAAAAATGTTTAAAAAATGAAACTGAGAAATAAATATTACGAAATAAAGCAGAATAAACAAGAGTAATACTTAAAGAGATAAATAATACAACATATTTCCTGGTTTTGCATAATTTCTTAATTGTTTTCTCACTCTGTTGAATAGTTCGATAGAAATTAAAGATTAAGAACGATACAAAAATATTTAAAGGTCTTACATACTGTATTTTATCTATATTTCTACGAAAAATCGCTTCTGCAAAAGTATGAATGGACTAGAAACGCAGTAGAAATATTGGTTGCAATTTAATCGACCGCAACTATCAAGCGACATATTTTTGGTACATTATAGTCTTGTATCTTTTATCGAAAATAAGGCCTGTTTTTCAAAATTGTTTGCAGCTTACACCACCCCCCCTCCCCCTCGCGAATGCAACAAGAAGCATAATACAACACAATTACATTCTGACAATTCCAGTGCGCTTTTGTGAGACAGGCTGAATGTACAATCCCATATCATATCGCATTGGTAATGAGATATTGCGATACCTATGCTTCATTCTCTCTCTCTCTCTCTCTCTCTCTCTCTCTCTCTCTCTCTCTCTCTCTCTCTCTCTCTCCCTCTCTCTCTCTCTCTCTCTCTCTCTCTCTCTCCTTTTCTCTTTCTCTCTCCTCCTCCTCCTCCTTCGCGCACGTGTGTATGTGTGTATGTATACGTGCGTGCGTGTGTTTCTGTACATACGTGATTATTACCTCGGGATAAATATTAACTAGTGGTGACGCGGTCACACAAAGCGAAAGTTACGTTATTATCGACTCGATAATGGCGTTATCGGGGAATTTAATATCTCATTGTAAATAATGTAATGTGCCGCCGGCAAAGAAGTTAATTACAATCCACTTCTGTTGAAACCGCAACACTGTCGGGACATACGCGCGAATCCTCGACATGCGTTTCACTGTTGGCACAATTATTCCCTTTGCCTTTCTTTTCCTATGAAACGCGATTAACAGCGGGGCGCAGCGGATGACTGTACCGCGGATATTATAATCCACGACGAGGTAAATGTATTTCGGAACGTCCAATGCGACAGATGAGGCTGCAGCTGCGACGATAATGCCCTGAGCGCGATCGAATGTAATTACGACAGCTCCTTCTCTCTCTCTCTCTCTCTCTCTCTCTCTCTGTAACGCGTTGCAAAACGCATTACGATTTAGTAGCTGCATGCCGCGTCATAAGTGAGCTTCGATACATCCGGTGCAGCACGCGGTACGCAATGGGGAGAAATTGCGCGGTGGGATTACGTTAGGTGAAGGTATTAGCCGCAGAAATTCTGTGGGCGTTTAATTTTGTATGGCTGATACGTTTATCTAGTATATTAGAGTATACGGTGCTAGCGCGCGCGCGTATGTAACTGCTGCAGCCGGCATTTTGCGGCTTCGAGGTGGAGTGAGATATACCTGGATATAGTGACGGACATAATGAACATAATTCACC